GCACAGTAAAACTAGAATTTATTGCCATCAGATGCAGAATCATTGAATCATTGGAAGGGGTTATGTAGGCCACCAAGTCCATCTCTGTTCATTGCAGGATTCCAGATGAAAGCATTCTCAGCAGGAGCTGCCTAGCCTCCTCTTGTAGTGCTTTGACTCTTAGAGATGTCTGTTCATATTTCTCCACCTAGGCATGGAAAGACCTGATACCACAGCCCTGAGCCTGAGCTTTCTATTGTCCTTGAATTTGATTGATTTTCAGACCACTACTCAATAAACCTGTCCCCTAATTTATATTATTACCACTTGAGATATCCAGGGGATTTCAAAGATTGAATTTAGACAGACAATATCTAAGTTCCTCACCATTGTAACTGAACCTAAAATTAACATCTACCATTACTGAGGATGTGTTAGATTCATTCTTGCCTCATCGTTCAAGGCTGTAGTTTAACCTTTGTGTCAGATCTGAACACTGATCTCACTTAATACTACAATGGCAGAAGACTCCTGGATAGATAAATACAGGTTTCCCTTGTTTTATGCAAATTTGCTTTTTGCAAGTTTGCTGTTATACAATTGACCATTTTCATCCAAGAATTTGTTTTATGCAAAACATATTCATTACAGGTAGTCCTTGCTTAATGACCACAATAGGGACCAGAAAATTGGTAGTTAAGCGGGGCAGTCATTAAGTGAGTCACCACATGACGACCCAATTTTACAACCATTTTACAACTCATAAAGTGAATCATGGCTGTTGTTAAGTGAATCACATGGTCATTAAGTGAATCCAGCTTCCCCAATGGTCGTTTTTGCTGGAATTTGTTTAACAACCACATGATCTGCTTAATGACCTCGGTGATTTGCTTTACAACCATCATAAAAAAGGTTGCAAATCGTGATCACATGACCCCAGGATGCTGCAACCAATTGTAAATGTGAGCCGGTTGCCAAGTGCCCAAATTGTGGTGTGACCATGGGGATGGTGCAACAGTTTGTGACGGTCATAAGTGCAAGTACAGGTCATAAAACAGTTTTTCCGAGGCTGTCATAACGTCAAACTGTTGTTAAATGAAAGGTCGTTAAGTAAGGACTACCTGTATGATGCAATTTGTTGTAGAATAGCCACTTTGCACCAAAGGACTGGAAACATGCCATGACCTTTTCCTGCCAAAACCCCTTTCTCCCCTCACTCATGCATTTACCATTATGCTGTGCATTTGTTCTAATTGTGTGTCCTCTATCCCACTTACTTCCATACCAACAATAGCTATTACTGTTAACTATGGGATCAAAATGGCCATCAACATCTTGTCCAATCCCCTTACCCAAAATGAAAAGGAAAAGAGCCTCTCCAGCACCAGAACAAACTTGGACAGACTTCCAGGGGAGGTATGGTGAACTGAAGATGTCTCTGTGAAAGCAGAGTTGACTGTGGCAAAGACCAAAGAACTAGTGAGTAGACCAGTTCCTTGGAACCTCTGGATAAGGAGAGAATGGGAGATTGCCCACATGTGTTCCAGATGGCTGTTCCTCATGAGATTGCAGGACAGTGGCTTTCTACGGGTTTGAGCGCTGGGAGACAAAGGGATTTATTTAAGGTTTTCCCACAGCCAAATTAACTCATTGCTTTCCTCACTTTCTTATTTCAACATTTCAAAATGGTTCTTCCATCAAAGCACTTTAGATCTTAATGAACATTCTGTGACATTGCAGCAGCTAGAGCAGCAGCTAGGGATTATTTACGAAGAGGCAGTGAAGAAGCAGAAAAGTTTAGTATAATGCATGTGAGTTGTATGTTATATGTTGTACTGCAGCCCACATTCATTCATTCAAGAATTCATAAGGTTGCCCATGTCAATATGTTTTCTCCATACAGAAAAGAAAGCAGAATTTTAAAAATGCAATACAATACAACTGGGTGTCCAAATAAATCTCTCCCGTAATGCATTATAAAACACACACATTGGACTCAACTAACATTCTGGTCCCAATGCCTGCTAGAAAAGCCAGATCTTTAACACTTTGCCACAACAAGGCAAACTTGGATACTTTGGAGAGTGGTTTTAAGGGGGAAAGAGTTGATGTAAGGACTATCATCAGAAATAATTTCAAATGCCTATAAACATGATTGTAATTATCAATCAGGGTACAATGCGAGGGAATTTGAAATCAAGTACTTTTCCAATAATGTTTTAATTGATTTTGCTTTTTCTCATTATTTTCTTTTTTATATATGATGTGCATTTATTCTTTGAATAATGATGAACTGGTAATATTAACATCTTGTTCAAGGATTTATAGAGATTTCTAGTTTTTTTTTTTTTTAATGCAATATACTCAGTTCTTTACAATCAATCCACTCATGAAATACTGAACTTTACATTTCATAACAACTGTAAACTCCATGTACTGATATTTTCACAGATTTTTTCTAATTTCTGTGGGACATTTGGAGCTGATGAGAAGTTTGAGAGCTACGAGTCCCCTTAAACTTACATACGCTGTGCCACCCTTCCACTAATTAAATTATCATCCATGTCAAGCACATTCACATCCAGTTCGGGGAAAGATTCTTCATGATTTCAGAATGTTTTGGTACTGATTCAAACCGTTTGGGAATGGAAACCCCTTGAACTGTGGGACACCTGTGGCCCTAAACCCTCTTTGTTTCTCCAAGACATTACATTGCTGAAATTTGGCAACCAAAAGCTGGAAAACAGGTGCATAATACTTCGTTGATTCTTAGCACAAAACTGGCATTTCCTAGTGGTCTCTTATCCACATATTAACCAAGTCAGACTCTGCTTGGCTTGTTGAGATCCATCAAGGTAGAAGCCATAGAAACACTAAAAAACAAAAAGGACTAACCCCCAAAACAACCTCTCAGAAATGCCAATCTCTTTATTTATAAAATGTATACACTGCCTTGATCCAATTGGACTCTGGGCAGTTTATGGTATATATAATACAGTAAAATAATGATATATGTGAAACAATATATAAATATAATAAAACAAATCTTACAGCAGTGGTTCTGGAACTGATCCCAAAGGCCTTGCAGAAAAGGACTGGACACCATCCTTTTCTTGGAAGGCAAATTGTTCCATAGGAGAGGAGCCCCTGCGGAAAATACCTGTTTTTGGAGTCCTTCCCACTGCACCTCTTAGTAGCCCAGAATCTCAGTGGGTGTTTTCTGTCCAGATTGGGTGGGCAGATTTTTACAGGGAAGGTCTTTGAGACACTCAGGCCTTGAGATATTAAGGACTTTAAAGGTACCGACCAGGCCCTTGAATTATTTCCACCTGGGATAGCTAGAATCCAAATTGTTCCCAATAACGTGACCGATCTGGCACAATCAGATGGTAATACCACCCCCTGCAACTCTCCACTGGAAGGGGGAGCAGGCATCAGCTCCCTACCAATACCAGCCCGTCCCCACTACTACTGAGCTCCTCTGTCATCAAAGTTTGTCAGCCCTAATCCTTCCCTCAACCACTTCTTTGGCACCAAAAAGTGAAAAACTCTGAAGCCGCTGACAAGCAGGGCAAATAGCACCCACTTCCTTGAGCCCCACCAGAGCACGGATGAGGTAAAACGGCCGGGCGCAGGCCTCCCGCTGATCCACTGGTCTGCTCCACCCCTTGTTGCCATTCAGCACTGCCATCTGGGTGCCCACACCTTTTAAGGTTGGGGATCCCTGGGCCTTTGCCACTCAGAAGGAGGTGAAGAGGCAGACCCAGCCAGACATTTCAATGCTGCTGCCACCTGGATGGGGATCATGGCTAGCTCCATCACCGGCATAGCAGCATAGAGTCTGCGATACAGAAGCTGAGTGGCAGAACTCCAGCCCAACTCTGCGCACTGCCAAATAGTTGACCAGCAGCACTCCGCCACCAGTTCACCCCACAGTCCAGGTGGTCAGACAGACAAGTTCAGACCCAGATCTAATACTGGTCTCCAAGCAAGTCTCCCACCCAGCCACCCAAAAGGCTGCTCCAGGGACTCTGCTCTTGAGCAACCCCTGCACCTTGCAACTTTCACATAGTCATATCAACACACTTATCCTATGGTCTATCCCATTATATATGGCCTTGGTACCATTACAAAAAAAAAAAAAAAGAATCACCATCAAAAAGTGATCCATCTGGCAAGTTTTGTTCTTGACAAATGCATTTCTATTACACAGTAATATTGCCCATTTCCATTGTCCCCTTTCCATAAGCTAGAGGTACATATAAATAAAAGCAGGAGCAAATCATAACGAACAATTTAAAGGGCAGTCTGCATATCAGTAGGTCCTAAGCTTTTGATGGGACTGCCATCTGTCATTTCTGAAAGGCAAGGAGGTTCAGGGCATTCCATATTTTAGGAGGCAAAGTTTTCCATGGCATGGGGCACCTACAGAGAAGGCAGGGATCTCTCCCCCCTCTCCTTCAGCCAAATGGGGAGATACTTTACATAGTCCTGAGCCGGGCGTTCCAGTTGAGCTGCCTATGGGGAGAACTTTATGACATCATAAAGGTGAATCCATTTGCAGGTTGCTCAGAACGTTCTTTGGGGGGGGGGGGGGAAAGCGAGGGGCGCCGGTA